TCCCCCTTCACCAAAAAAAAAAAAAAAAAAAAAAGAAAGGAAAAGAAAAATGGAAGGAATGAAATTCGATTAGATAATTGTTACCGATTATGCAAGGTTCGAACGCGAAAACCAAATTGCAGTCACAATGAACGCCTCTCGTCTATTTCAGCGATCTCGTGCAGTTTCTAGGCCTGCTGACGTAATCGATGTTGCATTAATTAAACAAAGAAGACATCAATACCCAATCACGCGCCATTTACGCCATTTGCGTGTTTATATACGTACTCGTACGTAATGTACATTCATGAAAGTACTTACACAGGATCATAGGCGTAGCGAGGGCCGGATATATTTCTATAATATAACCAAATTTCTGCAAAATTGGAAATGTAATTGAAGACAGATATTTCGCATGGTACCAGAGAGAGGGAGATATATATATATATATATATATATATATATTTTCATGGAAACTGTCAGACAATGATCCAAAGAGAAAATTTGTATCTACATATGGTAAGTATAGGGTTGGCCAAAAAATCACTTCCTACTGAAATAAATCGATAATTTTAAATTTAACTGTAAGATTAATTTTTTCTTACATTTCGATGTTTTGGCAATATTCTGTATACATATTGTTGTAGAATAGGAAGAAAAGAAGAAAGGAAGGAAGGAAAACAAGAGGAAGAAGAAGGAAAAAAAGAGAGAGAAACGAGACTAACAATAAAACTAATTATTATCATTATTATTATTAGCGAATGCGTGATGTTCGGTTAAGTGGTTGAAAAGAAATGGAAGAACGGCGCGGTGGTCCGCGATGGTAGTACACGTACAACGGAATACATTCGCGTAGGTCGTCCGACGACGCGACGCGCGCGACGGTGGTCAGCTGGCGCCAACGCTCTGGCCAACCTCCCACCAGACGGTATATCGCCTTGTTAATCTTGCTTCCCGTGTGTGTATATGTACTCGCCACCACTCTCTTTTTCTCTCTCTCTACCTAAATTCCGCGACTCCTTTCGTTTTTCGACCTCATGCCCGTGACGCGGTGTCTTGTTACCGCGACTCACTGGCTCGTCGCAGTAAGCTGCAACTTATGATTCATGATTCACGACTCACGACTCGTAACGACCGTGGTTACATTGTCACTGTGGTCACCACGTAATCGTTCAAATCGGTATCGATATTTCGATGTCAACGTATGGTTGACTAGATCGTTCGACAAGAAAAAACAGATAGGAAGATTCGTGCCGATTTTTTTTTTCTTTTTTTTTGACGTCATAGACGAAAATGACACGTTAGACGAAAATGACACGTTAGACGAAAATGACAGCGAGCGATTATGTTATTATTCGCTTCGTGCGATCTCCAAAAATTAAGCGATACCTGTGAAAAAAAATGAAACGCAGCTGCCTCTGTTTCTTAGCAGGTGTGCGTAGCTATATGGTTCCTTCTTGTATCGGGGCCCGTACACGTTAAAGCGCGAGCAACTCACTTCTTTGGGCTCGCGCGCGATATGACGATGTTTCTTGTTTCGTTTTAACCAACATCCAATCGAATGGTAAAATCGTTGATCGAATCGCGATTTCATTCAATAATGTACATACACGATTATTTTGCAGGAGCGACTTCTTTCTTACGATCAGTCTTTGGATTTATCTGCGAAAACGTGCATCGCAAAGAGATTAACCACTTGCGCTGGCAACTGATTGCGGACCATAACGAGTGACCGGACCATATATAACAATTCGTCGCTATGACATCACTGGATAGAAATTATTGAGAAGTAATAAATTTATTATTTGTTTTGTCTGGGTTATACTTAAATATACTTAAAACTGAGAAAATATTGCAATTTTAAGACGAAAAGTTCGCGACGTGCGTGGCACGTTATTTCGACGCAAGAGGTTAACTACTTGCGTTGGCAACTAATTGCGGACCGTAACGAGTGACCAAATTGTATACAACAATTTGTCGCTTTGTTTTTGAACTCGTCGGTATGATATCACTGGATAGAAACGATTGAGAAGTAATAAATTTATTATTTGTTTTGCCTAGTTTGTTTTACTTAAATATGCTTAAAACTATTACAGAGAAAATATTACAATTTTAGGACAAAAAATTCTCGACGTGCGTGGCACGTCATTCCAGCGTAAGAGGTTAAGTACTCGTACGGATACGAACACTAGAACAAAGGCGAGGATCATCTATCGGTTTCAATAATAAAACGCCGATAATTGGCTTTTATGTTTGTTTCATGTTTTATTTATTCGAATTATTAGTAGAAGTAGACGCGAGCCATGTATAAACTCGCAGTAATTTTACAATATGCATTTGTAGATGGATGGATGCACGTATTGACAGTTTACAACGAACTTTATCGAACGAAATATGCACGACCAGTGCACTGCTCGCACCGTAAGTATGCATTTTGTCGAAATCTATTCTATACCGTGAGAATAGTACCTCGTTTTTCCACATTTTGCCATCGATTCGTGATTCGATGACGCGCTTTTGCCTTTGCAAAATTATCATTGTCATCACCATTGTCGTTCTCATCGTCATTTATCGTCTCACTGAATCGATGATTGGCGATTCGAACGAACAAACGAAAATCTTTGCAACCGATGTCGATTGTAACGTTTCAGTCATGATTCGGAGATGCTCCATCTTTTCGTTGATACACTGGTCGTCGATCCTTGTTATTTCAGTTTTTAGGTTTCGGACTCTGCGAGCGTTTTTCTCCGCTGGATCTCAAAGTGTGACTTTGCCGCTTTGTGAGATAATACAAAAACGATTCCAGGCCTCGAATTCGTATTGCAGTACACACTTCTGGTTTGCCTGCGTGATACTTCTGGTACGCATTGTTATTTTTTGGAAAAAAAACTCACACGCCAAATTAACCGAGATTTATGGAGGATCTATGGGCACGCAGATAATCTCCAATTTGAGCAAGCCAAAGAACTTTTATCAAAGAACGTACTATAATTATCAATTATAGTCTGATGATTGGTTTAAACATCATGCGGCCGTCAAAGTGTCAACGCAACCGACTACATACTTTCGAAAAAACGCCACTTGGCGATGCGATACAGTTTACAGCTTGTAAAACGCCGGTGGAATCTCGACCTTAACAATCGGTGGGTTTGACGAGAGTCGACGTACGTACACATATATACACATACATAGGTATACAAGTGTTGGATCGCGCTTCTTTTTTGAATTCAAACGAGAGAGTGGGTGCTCAGTCTTCTTTTCTCTTTCTCAGTTTACCCTCGGTCTGTATGGTTTTAGACACGAGGTCTACGCAAGCCCCTAGCGAAGCGCCGTTGATTGGCTCGCCCTCGTCGATGATATCAACGATCTTCCCGAGGGTCATGATGTAACTACACGCGATCCTCAACACGGACAGCTTCGAGAGCTTTTGATTGTGCGAGTACGCGGGTATGGCGCGCCTCAGCGTGTCGAACGCGGCGCTTATCGTATGGACTCGCGTTCGTTCCCTGGCGTTCGCCTCTATTCTCCTTTCGCGCGTCATGTTTTTGTAGTTTCTCTGTTGGCCCGCTGTCGGCTGTTGCCTCGCCAGGCTGTTCTGGACGCTCGTCATCGTCACTGTGGTCGTCGACGTGCTCACCACCGCTGTTATCATCGCGGCCGTTGTCTCCGTTATCGAGCAGGATCGATGATTTTGTTGGCGGGACGATTGAGACGATGATGACGAAGACGAAGACGAAGACGAAGAAGACGAAGAAGAGGAAGAAGAAGATGAGGAGGTAGACGAAGAGGACGATGTCAAGGACAACGACGAAGACGACGACAACGACGATAACAGAGATGAAGATAACGAAGAAGCGTTCGCACGTTCCACAGAGTACGAGTCAGTTTTCTCGTAGTTACCGTTCACCGCTGGGTGAGAGGGTACTCTGGCAGTCACGTCGCCCCTCAGAACGAGCGACAAGGGTTCCTCTTGCAGTAGTCTGGGGTGCGCGACAGGAGATGGTGTCGCGGTCGACGAGAGCATCGTCTCGGACGTGGACGTTGCACACGAGGTTGCAACGTCGTCCAGTTTCTCACGCGAGACTTCTCGATTTTCGTTTCGAAGCGCGCGCGTTTCAGGGCACGACTGTCGCGCCCCGTTGGCCAAACTCTCTCGACTTTGCGACTCGAATTGTTTCCGAAGGGGGTCCTCCTCTTTGGTCTTTTTACCAAACGACGTGTCGCCATCGTCGGAATCGTGGCCACGATCTGAATTACTTTGTCGATGGTTGTCGTTGTCGTCGTCGTTCTCGTGATCGCAGTCGTTCTTCTGGCAGCAATGCTGATGATGATGGTGATGGTGGAGACGGTGACGATGATGATGATGATGATTGTGGTGATGATGATGATGGTGATGATGATGATGGTTGTTGTTAATCCGATTCGAAATCGTGGAGGGAATCGTGGACGACGACAAGTTCGTTAGCAAGGAGAAAACACAGGTTGTCGATTGATCGGCTAGAGTCTCTTTCGCAGTTGCAATCGAAGGTAAAGGGTGTTTCGCGTCGATGGTCTTGCTGCTGGTGTAACTCCACGGTCGAAACGGGCTCGGTGATCGAAGAAGCGTTCTGGTCGATTCCTCGTCTGGCATGGTTTCTTCCTCGATTCCCTGGAATCTGCGCTTCTTCAACGGAGCTGTGCTCGGCTCGTGAATTTTCCGTGGCTCGGCCAACTTTCTTTTATTCTTCAACGATATCGGGGTTATCTGCACCTCGAGACTGTCTTCGGAGGCACTCGGTGAACGTAGATCCGATATGTCGTCCTCGTCTCCGCCGCTGCAGAAACCGGCGTCCTTTTCCGAACTGGACATTGCACCGACTGAAACGAAAAAGCAGTCACGCAATGTACCAAATTTATGTAACAGTTGCGCGAGACTCTGTGGTCGAATTACATATACACAGTTTTAATTTAACACCCTTTGTACTCAACTGTTCCCTGTAAGGGGACATCGTAGTTCAATTTTATATCTAACAGCTAAAATTATAAATGACAGATTATAAATATAATATTATATAATATAATAATATATAATAATATATAATTATAAATTATAAATAAATTTTATAGTTGCTAATAATTATAATGAATGCAGGTATGGTGTTGTACGATATAATATAGTATAACGACGTAAGAGGAATAGTAAAATTTCAAAAGAAGAAATTCTTGAGGATAGAGGCAGTCGTGAATCAATTGACACTCATTGTTTGTTATTCGAATAATTCACATAAACTGAACTTCTTACTGCTTCTTACGAAAGTTTATAAAATGGTGAAGGAAATTTTTCAGAAGATTGAAACTACGTATGTATCATTAACTTCTATATATATACTATACTTGGTGATTACTTCAAACGAAATCACATATTAGAGAAATATGTAATCAACAAAATTTCGTGCTAAATATCATTTAAACAGAATGATTGTTTCCAATTCATCATTTTATTTAAAGAGATACTCGCTCGTAAATAAATTGCTGGTGGATAATACAAAAAATGTTTCCGAGGGCAAAGAATTAAAAGAAATACGCGTTTTAATTTAATATTAAACCTTTTAAAATAAAACGTTCAGTGACATTTCTGAATGAAAGAAGGGAAAAAAGGTAAAAAGAGAGAGAAAAAGAAAGAAAGGGAAACGACGGTCTGATATTATCCTTTTGAATAGTGTGTGTACAAACTGTAAACTGTCATGCGAGAACAAATTATCAGATCATTGAATATTTTAACGAATGTTAGAAATAGGAGCGAGATAACACGGTTCGGTTGAGGATAACATTGTGCACTTTAGGTGATAACGATTTACGCACCTGGTAGCAGTTTGATAGTTTCTGTAAGGAAGTCATCGTTACGATAAGATGCTATCTTTCTCTCGCGCTCGCTCTCTCTTCTCTCTCTCTCTCTCTCTCTCTCTCTCTCTCTCTCTCTCTCTCTCTCTCTCTCTCTGTACCCTTCGCGTCAAACATCTGTCTAGTTTCGACGAAACAGCACGCCAGTACTTACAACTTGCATAGTCGTAGGGAACTTGCGTCGTGATTCTTCGTCTTTCGACCGATGCTATGTGCACAAAACAGACAGAAAGAGAGAGAGAGAGAGAGAGAGAGAGAGAGAGAGAGAGAGAGAGAGAGACGGAAAATCAGAATTCGCGATCTCTCGAATATCAAATTTTTGATATTCCACAATTTCGTTCAACTCGCACAATTCGAGGAGATATGACAGTGAACAGATATAGAATTGTCTCATGATATAGATTTCGCATTTTTTAGGAACATACAATAGTCCCCGCTTAAACGTCCGTCGCCATCTCCACAAATTCTTGGAATTGGGACTATTTCACTTCACGTTACCTTAAAATCCGACCTACCAAAGGCCGCATGCCACTTGCAAAGCGATATTGGCAGAATACACCTCCCCACTTAAGCGTCTGTTTAAGTAGGGACTAGTCTGATCCCGAATGTAGACTTGCGCTGGCAACTGATTGCGGACCATAACGAATGACCAAACCGTATACGATAATTCGTCGCTTTCTTTTTGAACTCGCCGGTATGATATCATTGGATAGAAATTATTGAGAAGTAACCAATTTATTATTTGTTTTGCCTGGGTTATACTTAAAATACACTTAAAACTGAGAAAATATTACAATTTTGGGACAAAAAATTCTCGACGTGCGTAACACGTCATTCCAGCGCAAGAGGTTAACTACTTGCGCTGACAACTGATTGCGAACCATAACGAGTGACCAAACCGTATACGATAATTCGTCGCTTTCTTTTCGAACTCGCCGGTATATCACTGAATAGAAATTGTTGAGAAGTAATAAGTTTATTATTTGTTTTACTTGAATATACTTAAAACTGAGAAAATATAGCAATTTCTGGACAAAAAATTCTCGACGTGCGTAACACGTCATTCCAGCGCAAGAGGTTAACCACTTGCGCTGGCAACTGATTGCAGACCATAACGAGTGACCAAATCGTATACGATAATTCGTAGCTTTCTTTTTGAACTCGTCGGTATGATATCATTGGATAGAAATTATTGAGAAGTAACCAATTTATTATTTGTTTTGTCTGGGTTATACTTAAAATATACTTAAAATTGAGAAAATATTGCAATCGTGGCACGTCATTTCAGTGCAAGAGGTTAAGTAGGGACTAGCGTACCGTGTTAGCGCAACTTGAAACAAAAGTGGGAAAGGTGCGCGACTCACGCACGCCTCTAATTTATTTTCGCAAATATCACCACCACTCGCCAATATACATATTACGCCATGCATCTTTGTCGTCTGGTTCGGCAATTGTTCAAACAGAGCGAAATAATATCTAGACATCTGTGTAAACTCGCGTGAACGTGTACACGTACTACTAACCGCAGACTGGATATCTCCTATCGTATTTTCGTCAGGGGTGTACTAACAGATAGCCGTGCGATGGCGTGATGTGTATATTTTGATGCTTTTTTTCCCTCTGCCAATTCTCTTCTACTAGAGAGAAAAAGAGAGAGAGAGATGCTGTCTCTCCTCAGGTATTTACACGCCCCCTGGTATTCTTTTTTCGTATTTTTCATCTGAATTTCATTCGTAGATTCGGTACAATGTGCAACAACAAACATCGATACGATACGAGTAAGAAACAATCGTAAAAATAGAAAACAAATGGAATGAAAATCGAAAAAACAGAATTGGATTGAGAACGTGGCGGGCGATTCCAAGCTTCACTGTGGTCGCGTTTCAAAATTGACGATTAAACGTAAGTACATAACGTAGAGCTTCGTCATTTATTTCGTGGAAGCAGTGATTGTTCTCTCTTCTGGTTCTCGACGCGACCTAACGTACTAGAAATAGTAAAGTTTAACGGACTCTCGTGGCTGCGGCTCTTTGCGATTTAATTAATAACGTCGACGAATCAAGAAAAAAAAAAGGAATAATCATCAACGAACATTTAAAGGCGTACGAGGAGACATGTGCAGCCACGTCTAAAAAGTCAATTGTTTTTCAGACAAGAAGTACGTAGCGTATAAATGTAATATATTCTGAAAGCAAATCTTGAGCGAAAACGCTTTATGTGGGATCGTTTCTAACAAGATGGTCTGGAAAGAAGATGGTCTAGTGATACGCACATGTAGAGAGAGAAAGAGAGAGAGGGAGGAAGAGAGAGAGAGAGAGAGAGTCGAAGACGGCGCGGCGGTCACCAGATGGTCGTGCGGGAGCAATGTTTAAATCGATTGCATTGGCGTCGCATCGACTTTAGCACTTCTCATTTTCTTTCTTCCTTTTGAATTGATCATTCAAAATTAGAAAATACATCGTAAACGTTTTTTAAAACGAGAATAACATTATCTTTCAGTTGCATCGTTCAAATATTAACGTAATAAGGCAAAGGCAGTCATGACAATAAACCTAAAGCTTCTAAGAATATGCGAACAGTGCGATTGCAATATCAAACAGCCCTGAGTGAATCTTGATCGAGCGAATATACCGTACGCATATACGTATGTAAATAAGTAAGTGATAAATAAATAAGTACACGTGTATATACATATACAGGGTGAATAGAAAAGAGGACTCATAACTTCTAGAGTGGATAGTACTCGTCGAAACATAAAAAAAAAATCCTAACAAACATGGGTCGAAAAATTATAACAATAGTTTCGATTTTTTCGTTTCGGTTGAAATGCTTGCAACATGTCCGGGGAATCTTTGAAAGGATGTAATTGTTTGATACAAAGGTGTCAAAGTAGAAATGGAAGGATGACATGTAGAAAACCTCCTGTAATCAGAAAAAGAAGAAATTACAAGGTAAACCACTACTTACATACAGTATGCCAACTCTCGAGGAAGCGAAGAAATTCGTTTCTTCGGTCGAAACAAAAATCCAACACTCCATTTATAACTTTTAAAAAATTATTAATCCGTTACAACTTTTCTTTTCTCATGTTTCGACGAGTCTATCCTTTTTTTTTTTTCTATTCATCCTGTATGCACTGGCTACGAGCTGTTAAGAAAAGTCTCGCAATAGTGTTTTAGTGTCCCAGGAATCCGAAAGGAAGGCGGCAGGAAGACAAACGGAAAGGTGAAAAGGTGGAGAAAGAATGAACGTGGCGGGGAATCTTTCGATCGGAAGTGGTGAGTAGCAAACGATTAGGGCCTGGCCAGCAGATGGATGGAAGAAGGATCGGTGGTAGCAAGAATGAGGAACGATTAAACGGCAAACGCGGGGAACAGGTCCGTGGGGATAGAAGAGGTGTTCGGTTCGGCTCGATTCAGGTAGCAGGTGCAACTTTGTGTACAAGTGGGTGGAAGGAAAGAGTGTTGGACGTTTACCGTAGCATTCGTTCCCTCCCTTTCTACCTGTGCGTACCTCTACCTCGCGCACAATAGAATATCGATTACATTGGACAGTTTCCGACCATTGAACTAGTAATTATGTTGTGGAAACGATCATTTGCAATTGCAAAAGCAAATGGTTCCAAAAATCGAAACAACGAAACGAGCGAAACTTTACCAAGCGAAAGACCTTTCTTCCGGACGTAAACGCTCGCTCCGTAAACGTAAACACGCAGACACGTTCGTCGTATCTTTCCGCGTCGAGATCAAACGATCGAGTCGAGACGATCATTCTTTTCGTATCTCGGTGTTAATCCGAGGTGAACGTTCCTCGATCGATTATAAAACGCTTTTCCTTCGCCGTACGTTATACGATATACGATAGCGTGTATAAACATCTCGCGGTAAGAATTGATCGTAACTTTCAGAAATTTGAAGAAAAACGAAATACCTAAAGAACGTGAGAGAGAATGAAAAGCAAGAGGAAAAGAGGAAATGAGAACGAAGAGAAGAAAGAAGAAGGAATAGGAGGGAAAGTGGAACAAAAGCAACGTTCGGAGAGGTGTGAAACGAAATACACATACACGTGTATTGGGTACTGTAGCCGTGAGATTAAAAAAAACGGTAAGAGATTTCGAGTTTGGTCAAGAGGTCGTTTGTTTCGTACAAGTCGGTTCGCCTGCTAGTCGTGTGAGCCAACCCACGCTGGCGCCGCCGCCGCGCCCTGTCTCTCTTGTCGCATTCTCCTCTTTTATCGAATGCTACTTCTTCCTTCTCCCACCGTCTCGCCGTTTTCCACGGATCGCGTTCTCTCTCAACTCTTCAACTCTTAACTGTCTTCCGTCCCCCCACTCCTTGCTCCGTATGGGCATTATAAGCTCTACTATCTCTCTTTATCGCGATGTCGGTTTTACGGTCTGACATGACTTGACTTGACTTGACTCGACTCGACTCGACTCGGCTTGGCTTGACTTGCAGTGTGTTGCTGCCACGGAACCAGAATAATCCCGGAGGCGACTGGCGCCGTTCATAATGACAATTATCGTATCGTTCTTTGCAGACTATCAATCGGCCGAGCGACGATGACGACGACGACGACGACCATCACCACCGTGATAAAAATGATATTTTCTATCGCGACAATGATCGGAGCGTCGACGAGACCGAGTTAGCAAAGTCGTTCAAACTTTCGCGTTGCTATATTATTTCTATCTATCGCAAACGAAACAAATTAATTGAAAATCGACTGAAGGAAGATGGAAAAGATGGTAAGAATTAATATAAATATATATATGTATATATATTATACGTTAGAAGGATCGAGTTGATCATTTCTCACGTTTTAAGCTGAAGTTTTTCAGAGATATTCACCTTTCATCAAAGCCGACAACTCGGAAGCTGATTCCACAACGTGACTGGTCATTTTCATTGGAGATAAACTAGAGACAAGAAGACGCGTCGTTTTCTACGTTTTCGCCGTTAAGCACCAAGTTTCTTTTGCGCTTGATCACCACACGCGCGTTACTTCATCCGTGCATACACTACTTTTTACGGAGTAAAAACTACGAACACGTGTCGCGGGACAGGTTTACGGGTTGCGCCGGTAGCCGGGTTGCAACTCTTTGCCTCCTTCTTCCTGTGCTATCTGTAGCTTCGACTTGCTCTCTTTTCTTTTCCAACAGCAGTTCCCCTGATTTTTCTTTCTCTCCCTCGGGCCACTCTTTATCATCAGTGCGTGTGTTTGAGCTTCGTCACCTTCTTGCGAGCAATCATCGAAAAGTCGAGAATTACAGGAAGAAAACAGATCATGGCCACGATCGCGAGGCTTTGTGCGAAAATTTGCTCGCGTACGTGCGCAGTAAACTTGATTCGACTTTAGAAGACCGAGTGTAACAACCGAGATAACGGAGCACGTCCTTACTCGAGCGCGGCCGACAACGTACTAAGTTTGTACTCTCCTCGTGCGTTCGAACCACTTTCATCTCACACGCGTACGATGGAGTCCCAACTGGTTTTGCCTGTGTGACTTTGCTGCCTCTAACATTACCACCACTACCTCTGCATTACCACTACCACCGCACTGCCACTACCACTACCACTACCACTACCACTGTCACAAACCACTACCACTACCACTATCACTACTTATATATACCATCATTGGCATCGATGCCATCGATTTTATGGATACTATCACTAGTACCAACGCGTATCGAATGTTGTTGTTTCTTCTCTCAGCCTCTGCATGATTTCGCTCCGTTCGCGATGCATCGTACGTACACGTCGGCTTTAGCACCAACACACTGTGGCGCCGAGGCGCCCGAAAGTCGAGTAAGCATCGTCTCGCCGCGCTTGGAAACTCGATCGGATCACACGACACGGATGAACACGGTATTCAGTTTGCCATTCAACGGGGTCGAGCATCTCGCTATAAGGAGTATCCCACACGAGTAGCGTTATCATCAATGACAATGGCAATGGTGTTGGTGGTGGTGGATTGGAATGACGAAGTCGCGCGGTGCTGATGTGTTGGTATTACGTACTTGGTAGTAGTGTTGGCGCTAACGTTGGTGACGATGGCAGGCGAAACAAACGGGGAGGAGGTGTACGGCGCGCTTTGTTGGCCGCAAGAGGCAGCGGGGGCCGACAGAACGGCGCCAGCCGGCCGAGAGTTTGACTCGGTTTCTCTGTGCGTTGCGTCGCGCCACGCCACGCCACGCCACGCCACGCCGCGCCGCGCCGTCCCGTCCATCTTTCTTCCCTGCCTCGCCGCTCCTCTCTTCATCCTTTTTTCTTTTTTTCTTCCTCTTCTTCTTCTTCTTCTTCCCTGTATCTTACCTCATCTCACCGGTCTATCTCTCTCTCTCTCTCTCTTTCACTCTTCCCTCTTTACGTCGTCATCTCGTGTCTCTCTTTCCTTCTACACTCGTTTCATTCCTTCCTTCTTCTCTTTCTCTCTCATCGAGTTTTTCGTTGCCGTTTCAGACATCGTTTCAGACTCGATTCCGAGTCAACCACCCGCGGTGGAAGGATCGTAACGTCGCGTCGACGCTGTCGCCTCTGCCCCGCATGCGAAAGAAACGCCAGACTGCGAGATCTATCCTCTACCAATGAGAGAGACTCTCTTGAGCATTTTGCCAAGGATCCAACTACCTACCTACCTACCTACCTACCTACCTACCTACCTACCTACCTACCTACCTACCTACCTACCTACCTACCTTCCTACCTACCTACCTACTCACCTACCTACCTACATACCTACCTATCTATCAATCTACTTATCTCCGTCTCTACAACCTACCTACCACTCCTTTAAACATTCAACCGTATTATCTTTCTTTCCATTATCTTTGCCTCGACAGATTCTCTATTCTTGAAATCTCAGATGCTGTGAATCCTTTGCACGGCGGAACCAGAATTCTCTCTTCTCAAGCTGGTAGCCAAAATCTTGGTCTTCCAGCTTTCTCTCCTTGCGTTAATATGTATTCGTTCGAACGAATGGTGTTCCCAAGGTCGATCGACATGTGGTATGAAAACAGGAGAAAAGGTGTGGCTTTCGTCCTTGTTCAGTTATTGTATTTATTATTCGAAAACTGTTGAAAATCTTGCCGCAATATTCATTGTCGTTCCGGGTATGCTCGGTATGACCGGGCGATGTGTCATAAAGGACGTATGTTCGCCATCTGTGTAAACCGTGAAGTCCTAATCCTTGTTTCAGCTCGACACGGCTGGTACATATTGGTCAACGCTCTGGTACGATCTGGTCATACACACACACGTGTGCGTCGTTTCGTCGTTCTAATCGTCTATACTTTGTATTTACATGCATATTTGGCACGCGCGTGTGTACTATTATTATATTTAAGCGGTATCACGGCCAGTGGCAACTTTGATCGTTGTCTCCTCTACTCGAGAAACGCACGAAATTGGAACCGATCGATCGGCGCGCGTGATCGATATTCTCGACAATGTACAGCAACAACCGAGAGATGCAGTGGCTGATAAAACGCGCGTGTAACTATTCTCCGACAGACGTGAGCGTGTAATCACGCCCCTCGATTAGACTGCGGATTTTCACGCATTTGTGAGAAATTTAAGCAAAGAATGGACACACCGTGCGCAAATATATAAAGTATTAAAAGTAGGGTGCTTGTTGTAATATTTGTACTGTTTATAGTAATAATATTTACACTATTTTATATATATTTATGTAATTATAATAATAATGTTATAGCATTCATATAATTATAATTATTATATAAAATATTATTAAGATTATTACTATAAATACTACTATATATATATATATATATATATGTATGATATTATAAATATTTCATTTTTTATAATATTTTATATATATTTATATAATTATAATAATAATGTTACTATTTATATAATTATAATTATTATATTTATATTATAATAATAATAATGTTATAGTATTTATAATAATAATATTAACAGTATAATATTCAGTACATTTTATATATATTTATATAATAATAATAATAATAATAATGTTACTATTTATATAATTATAATTATTATATAAAATAATATTTATATTATAATAATAGTAATGTTAGAGTATTTATAGTAATAATATTATTACTAATAATAATATTTATAACATTTTATATATATTTATATAATTATAATAATAATGTTATAGTGTTTATATAGTTACAATTATTATATACAATATTATAAATATTATTACTATAAATACTACTATATATATATATATATATATATATATATATATATATTTGTAATATTATAAAATATAAATATTATATTTATATAGTTATAATAATAAATTTATAGAAATAATATTATAGTATTTATAGTAATAATATTAATAGTATAATATTCAGGTATTTAAGTATTTAGTAGTGTTGTAATATTTATATTACGGTGACGAGTAGTTATCACTTGTGGTTCTTCACTCTTGTGGTTCTGTCACGCGGCGGTGGAATCGCGTATCACCGTGAACGAGGCTCGCACAAACGATTTTCCGTGTCACGCGCGCAAAAAAATTCAAAATTTGAATCGTGACGTTAATCATAATTGGACGAGATAAATTGGTTACTGAACGCGTGACTCGATTTCTTCCCCGACGTGTACGAATGGTGTTCGTACTTACGAGTTCGAAAAACATCGCGCGTTTCACGCATTTACACGAGTATACGATTTCACGGATAGTTTAGACCTTGAGGAAAGAAGGAAGAGAACCCCCGTTGCGAACGTTTGGTACGGTATCTGCGAAACATATGCGCGGATAGGGGTGCCTTGAGGGTATTAAAGAGAGAGAGAGAGAGAGAGAGAGAAGGCGACCGAGCGGCAGCTCATCCGATTTGTCGGGATGCGTGTGTCTACCAGATGTGACGAAAATGGCCAAGGAAATCCCCAAGGGCGTCGACCATCGTTCTCGCAAGACGAGATGTATTCGTCCGAGTTTTATCGTTCGATTCGCCCCGTCGATTCTGTCAGAAACCATCGACGACCGCAGCGTTTCGTCTTTTCGTCCTTTTCCTTATTTGCTCTTCTCTCCTCCCCTCGTTTCATTTTTTCCTTCTTTCCTTCCATTCCTTCCGTTCTCCGAGGAGACGAAATTACATGTACCATCACTGTCCCATATCAAGAATTTACACGCTATGCAAAAACTAACGTCAGTGATGAATAAGATGCACAGGAATGAAGATTCACAACGTAGCAAATGATTTTTTTACCGAGAAATTCCTTTCAGCAGATTAATCAAGAAAGAAAGAATTACATTGGCTCGATTAAGGACAGGACTCACCTTAAACGATAACTCTAATGAACACTTAATCAAGAAGACTGACTGTGCAACAGATGTCAATAATCTGTCATAGTACAACAAAATTCTACATGATGAACAAATAGAGAAAACTTCATAGGATTCATCTCATCACTGCCCTGACTTTCCAAAATCATTTAAAAGGAACATTTCAATACTTGATGGACGTAAATCTATACTACAAAATATAAATAACGTAAGTGTCTAATCGCTAATGACGTCGATGTCGCGTGCGTTCTAACAGCGACTTTATGGTTCTGGACGTAACGGCGTGGATGTAATTATACTTCGAATAACGTTAACAGTTGGTTTTATCATTTGATTATTTAGACTCGCAGTGTCTAATAGTTCTCTTCTTTTCTTCTCAAGTTTCTTAATTTAATACTGCAGACGCGTACGTTCTAACAGCGACTTTATGGTTCTGGATGTAATGGCGTGGATTTAATGTTTATACTTCGAATAATGTTAACAGTTGGTTTTATTATTTAATTATTTAAACTCGCATTAATAGTACCCTTCTTTTCTTCTTAAGTTTCTTCATTTAATATTGCAGACACGTGCGTTCTAACAGCGACTTTATAGTTCTGAACTCGTGGATGTAATATTTATATTTCAAATAACGTTAACAGTTGGTTTT